CTTCGTTTAGGATAATAAAGTACTATTATTTTTTGTTTTTTGTTTGTACTATCTTTTGTTTTTATTTTACAAACAAAAAATTCCTAAATTAAGAAAAAGGTCAAGACAAATGACTAATTGCTTGAGGAATTATGTTGCTTTCATGAAGCCTTAACATCGGGAATTTTGACACTCCCCACCTAACCCTGCTTGGCAAAATAATAATACAGGACAGTCTGTATCATGCATGCAGTACATTTCAGAAAGAAAACTAACCAACAGTTGAACTTGCATCAGTATCCTTAGAATGTGTTAGAAAGCCACTTTAATGACATGAGTTTGCAGCTGGTATCATGAAAGCGAGTTAATATGAAGAAAATATTTAGAAGAAATTAAACACCTGTGGATAGTATAATGACGGAAGTACTGAAAAAGCAGTATCCTTCTAATTTCAGAAGCGGGAGAAGGAAAAGTATGCCTACGCATGGAAGAACGCCAGAGAAAAACTTACACATGCTTTTCTGACAGGCCAGATGATGCTTTGAAACCGCTGCAGTTGTGGCATGTACGAGCAATTTATCTATTTGTTTTGCTGCTGATTTTGTCAAATTTCTGTGAAACAGCTTCAATAGTACGTGATACTGGTCATTAGCTACTAAGGCTAAACTGTAACTCATTCTCCAGACCAGTAGCAAAAGAAGTCACATATACAAAAATACATTTTAAAAAATACACAAAAATACATTTTAAAAAGCCAGAGATGCAAGTACTTTTGTATGGGGCAGGAGTGAAGGGGTAGGGTGAAAGACCATGTGGGTGACGAGTCAACTTGCCTAAAAACCTAGTTTTATACCACAGGGCTGAGCAAAAAAGGTTACATAGTATAAAATAATTCTCAAATTTGCCAAGGTTGCATCCTATGCAACAAAAGACAACCTACAGAACAATTTTAGGTGAAGGTTTTAAGTAAAATGAATGTGGTGGCAATATGGTCTACGGAAACTAACATGAAGGTAAATATTCTTCAGACCTTCAAAAATAAAAAAAAAATACATCCAGATCCTAAAATTCTAAGGTGAAAGAAGTTACTAAAGTTTATATTTCCCATTTCGGTTTTGCAATTACAAACTGATCTTATTATGTGAAACGGCCATATTAAGCAATAGTATTGTAACATACACCTGTAACATGTATGTCATACTGAATGCCTGCCCTAACTTCATTTCTTTCATAAGATATTAAATGGAAGGAAAAAAGTTTACAAAAAACTGCCAGTGTTTGACAAAAAGTTCACCTGTAACTGAGACCACAGAAGTTTGCAAATTCAAATCAATGAACTTTCAATACAGTAGTTTAAATATTTTGATCTGATAAGCGACAAAACATTAAAATCTAAAGGAGGTCAGAGTACCACTGTGCGTTTTTCCTGTTCAATTAGTTTGACACTCTACAAAGACTGAACTCAGTTTACAAATACAGTTGAAAGATCAGATTTAAGTTCATATGCTTTCATAAATGCCTTTCTCCTATTTTAGCAGAGTAAGGTTCTATTACAATTTCTGCACAGACTTAGAAAAGTAACAACTTCAAGTTCTTCCAAGCTGTATGTAAGAAATTCAAATATACCAGTGTCACTGATTTCCTGCTAGACTGAATTTTTCTTATTCCTTAGGATTTTCAAATGACAAGTGCTAAGAAAGTAAAAATATAGAATTCAACTGAGCTTCATGACTAAATTAAAAGGGGCAGAATTCATAATTTGTTTATGCTTGACACAACAGGCAACCAAAATAGTTACATTTCAGGAACAAATACTAGTTGAAACGGAACTTGGAGTTTGCCTGAAGAAAACAGTATGCAAGTGTGAAAACAAGAAACTTCCTGTTCATGTCAGACATTAAACTTTTTCATGTAGAACTCTGAAATTATCATTCTAAATACGAACACCCACCCCCCCCCCAGCATTTACAACAGCAATGCTTTACCTGGGCAACATATAATCAACAACTTCTCTTTCAGAGATTCTTCTCTTTCAGAGATTCTTCCCTATCCTATTAGGAAAAAGAAATCACCCGTAACAGGAATTCCCTAAACAACTGGCACACTTTTAAGTTGCTATTGCTTTTATTTCATGAAATGCCACCTGTCACTGTAAACATATCAGCTAATCAAACCAACAGAGCATTACAACAGCAGGTGTATTTACCTACGTTGATTCCAACTGTCGAGGGGAAAAGAAAAAAAAAAATGAAAACCCAGCAAATACTGTTAAATGTACAAACATCTAAAAATGTTCACTGCCTGACTCAGCAATTCAAACGTTAATAGCAAAACTAGTCATAAAAACCCTGAGATTCTGCCACATCTGCTCCATGGACATTTCAGTAATGTTCTTTCGCTGTAAATTTAATGGAACTTATATAGAGGAATGAACAGACCCCCTAGTGAAAACATTTGTAGTTTAGCGCTTAAGATAGAAGTGGAATGTTATACATCAGAGCTAGAGTAAATTAACTATATCACTGATGTCTTTCCCCCCACAGACTGGAGTTGTGAAATCCTACACGTTTTCTGTTTCAAAACAAGGATAAACAAAGTTGTTAATGAGTGACAACAATCATGCAATAACTAAACCCAAACAACAACTGTTAATAGAAGAATTTTAAGTTAAAATACAACCAGCATCATTATTGGTTTTACCTCTTAAAGTAATTACAGATTTTCTCCAATTTATACAATATTACTTATATATATTACTGTCTGAAAAACCAGCCTTGAATTCTCTAAAAATCTGAATTAGTCCCTGTTGAGGTAGTCACAGACAAAGGGATACATTTCAATGGTAAACTGCAAACAGTGAAATTATAGGTAAGTTTTCCTCAATAAACACATATAAACTATTGCCAGGGCTCATACAGAGTTCTTTGTAAAGCACAATTCACTGCAATGTAAAACATGGCACAGCTAGCTTTATCAGTCAGACCACATAGCTAAGAAATTCTGCCTTTTTCTGTCTACATCAGATGAAGTAATAATTCGGTAATAAGTTTTAAAAACAGTAAAAAGGAGGGCAGCTAGCATTAATTCACTTAAAACAATTTAAAAATCCGTTATAGATAGGACACATACAACTCTGCCACTAACTTACAAATACTCATTTTTTGTAGTTTTTTTCCCTGTATCTTGTAATAAAAGTTGTAGAGTAAAACCTTAAAATATAAAATTCCTTGAAATCAGAACAGAACCTTTTTTTTTTTTGCAATGCCAGCAGAAACCACTGTAGTTTTTGCTTGCTTTTTACACAGGTTTGTATTTGTAAAAACTTTTTTTAAAAAAAAACAAGAATTCATGTATTTGCTCAGCATAAGAAAACGGCACTACTTTTAAGAATCTTATAGAAATACTTTTAAGATAAAATACTAAGCAAATAATTCATAGGTTCAGTTCATATTATCGGAAAGGTCTATTTATTCAAATTATATTTCAAAAAAATGGCAATTCAACAATATAATCAAATAATTCATGCAAAGAAATTCTCTTAATTATGACAACTAATTAGCATGGCAGAGAAACCCACATTATTGTACCATATGTATTAGTGCATACATCTCAGGGAAACAAGTAATTTTGTTCTTATTTACAGTAATGTCAAGGATGTACTGGCTACGTAGTAAGCAATAATTCTACTTCAGATATACTTTCACAGAGCAATCATGAGTTTTCTGCACAGGCAGACATAACCTTTTGTTGCACATGCTAGCCAACACAAAGACAGAGTGGCATAAGCACACTAGAAAGCAATCCATGGATGTTCCCAAGCTCTTCCAAAAATGAATCCTGCAGCAGTTTAAGATATTACCACTTTCAGCTGCCAGTACTGAACCACCTATGTTTACAATTCACAGTGCTACCTTTAAGGTACTAATCATCGGGCTTTTGTTCATCCATTTGCATTTGGTTGCTTCAATTTATGTGTACAGATGCTGTTCTGTCCACTCCAACTAAAGATACATCAGCCACGACAGAAGGGTAGTAGGCTGGACAGGTTGAAACTTTATCTTGAACCACTGTAAATACATTCCATAAGAGCTCCTCTGACAAAAGCTTGGTGTGGCCTGCACTGAAAGCTGTGCTGTGAAATGCTCTAAAATCCAGTGACAGAAGCGAATCCTCCAAATAAACAATTTTGTTGATGAAGTTTAACAGCAGGCCATTAAAGATAGCTATTTTAGTCTGAAAGTTTTTTTCCAGCTTTTAAACATACCAATTTGGAACATAAGGCAGTGATCATTCTAAGGCACAGTATACAAGCATCAAAACAACCTTACTTATAAAGGATACATTGAAGTGTGCTTTTATTACCGAATGCTTTTATTCAAGTAGACAAAAAAAGAATTAAAGTACTTGTGAAAAGATGTGGTCATTTTATCCCCTCCCCCTTTTTAAAGTTTCCCTAGCAATCTCAAATTTAGTAAAGATTCAGTCAAATGATCAGCAAGCCATCAAGTTAAGAGAAGGATCAAACATATCTTCAAATACCTATAGAACAATCCTCAAGATGCTAAATTTTTACTGTAAGTGAACCTTGGTATCTCTGGGCACAGAAAGAGAAGGTGACAAAAACACCTTTGTTAGCTCCAGATAACTGTCGCACTATCCCTATGCAATTGCTCTTTTACAGGGATAATGTGCTACAGAAAGGGTAGGCACACAGGAAATCAGTGACAAAGGAATTACTGTGATTAAAATTCACAATTTAACTTCCACTACAGAAAAAAGGTGACAGGAAGATTTCCATCTGTCTTCTCATCCACTTAAAAAGAGTCAACAAAAGATTTCAATGCTCTTTGAAGGCTTGTACGAACAGGGATGTCTGGATGTCCTCTCTATTCAAAGACATTCTCAGCCATTGCAAAATAAGCTAGAAATGTCCACAATTTAGAAGGAGCATCTGCTCGCTGGACATTTATCTCTTAATCAAGCTTTCCAAATCTACAACCACCACCACCACCACTTTTCAATCCCCTTTCTTTGCTTGCCAGCATTTCCATGCAATTTTCTTTTCAAAGGAAAAGAATCCTGGACTAAATCTTATAAAGATTGTTAACAATTCTCAAAATAAATTCCCCTTTCTTCTTCCCTCTCATTCCAGATTTCTGCTAAAGATTTGATTTTAAATGGCAAAGTGAAGGTCCAGTTCAATGGTTACTATGCATCACTTTCGGCTACTTAGCTCTTATGAAAACAAACAGATTAGAAGGGCTATTTGACACAGCCTTTGCATGCACATGAAAATCTGTCCACTTTATGAACTTCCTGTGAAACGGTTTTTCCAGCAACCATAGTTATGCTTTCAACAACAACAAAAAAACACAGGTGAAACATGGAATTACTCAGAAGTAAACATACAGAGAACTTTTTGCCGTATTTAGAAGCACAGTTTGATTCTCAGGTTTGCACAAGTTTAAGAACTGAGTTGGGATGCAAGGCAATGTCTACTGAATTCCTGACTTAAGTGACCTCAAGCATTTGCAACAGCAAGGCACATCAATTTCGGTCATTTCACTTAGATGTTGACTTTTAAGCAGAGATGAATTCCCTATGCTAATCGTAAAAGTGTAAGCACTCTAATTGTGCAGATATATTCACTTCCCTAAAACTCTACAGAGTCAATTTCTTAAATATCACTCTAGATTAAAATCTACAATCATTTAGAAGCAATTTTACAAACTAATTAGATTAAGCACCTAACGATTAAGTTTACTGGCACCATACAAGGTAATTACAAAGTAGAACATACTAAAAACAGTAAAGTAATAGGTGCATCTTCAACATATCTTTGTACTTGCTCAAAGGATTATAGAACAGTAAAAATGAACAAGCATTTTGCAAAATAACGCCCGAGGAACATCTCTACCCCTTTCCCCCTCTAAATTTAGATGTTATTAGTACAAAAGCAATTAAATGCAATCTACTACTTGCTCAGTTGCCCGACTTAGCAAAGGGCTATATACCATGAAGTGAAATTGAGTGAATCCTGGAATTTTATTACAAGCAGCACCTAGGAAAGAAAGAAAAGAGTATTATTTCCTACATTTAGGATTAGTGTCTTTGTCACTGCACTTTATCATCTAAAGACCCAGTCATTAATTCTACTACAATGGTGTAATTATCCTTTTACAATCTGCTTAACCCAAGATGTCTCAGAAGTATTTAATTTTGAGGTAAAAATACAGGGCTACGGACTGCTGCTGTCGTGCAATTAATGCCCTTATAATACCATTCAAAACAGTAACATAAGTTGGGGAAAAAAATATATCCCAGTCTTGATTAACGTAATGAATTCCTCAAACTCTAATCTCTCAAACACAGAACTATGGGAAATAAAAGATCAAAGAACAGCAATAAGCAGTCTAACTCAATAAGCCATGTTGATTTGCAAATTTATTTTCTACTGATATAAGAGTTCACTAATGAGAAGCTGGCACAATGACTGATCTTGGATTGCTTTGAAGCTATGCTGAACAGCCACAGTCTCACTGCCTTATGCCATATCTGGGGAGCTACCGGCATTCTTTTTTAAACCTTCAAATTAATCATAGACAATCCAGGACAACACATTAAGGTTGTAAGTACTTTTGATTTTTACTAAAACTTAAAGTGCTGTGAAAGTCTAACACATCAAAATGCAGAGGAATAATTAAGACACCTTAAGTCCACACTAGGACAGTAGCCCTGATAACCAGCATTTGGTACTATGGAGGGACAGTACTGCTGAAGTGGTTAAAGAATAATTACTGACTGCTGCTTTAAAGTCCGCCCTTATTTTTGTATTTCTGTGGCCCAGCTACAGTGTTTGTTGAAGAAAATACATACCATAACTTCCAGTTGCATTGGCACATATAACACCGCCAAAGAACTTTGGTGCATACTTCTGGATTCTAGAAATAACTTTCTGACAGGCTACTGTTGGGTCTGTTCCCATCCTCATATACTCCACCGCTTGATAGCTAAAACAAAACAACCCCACACCCAGTTAGCCTTACTCAAGTTATGCATTCTAAAACACGACTGAGATCTCAATTTCTTCAAACAATGGAAAAGCATAATGAGTAACCTTTGGCCAAACTTCACATTGGTGATTATCATCCAAGTGCCATATAAAACGTAACTAGAAACAGGACTAAAAGGGGACTGCAAGATGCCATCTAAGCCATCAATCATTCTAAGGCAGTACCCAACCTGGGATATTTCTGTCTAATCATTTGCAGTAGAAGAGGCTAAGCTACAGACCAACTCCAACAACAACAAAAAGCAGTTAAAGACTTCCTGGCTTTTATTTTCCATTGCACAGCTAAGTTTGACTTCAAATGTTATTACTAGTGTTCAAAGAGGCCTACGTCAAGATAAATTTTTGAAAAAAAAATTGACCTCTGATACCACACTGTTGGTAAATTATTGATTCCTGTAAGCGTCAAGAAGCCTTTCAGAAAAACATACATTTCTGGAAAACTCAACGCTAACCAGCTTTCCTTCTTATGCCCTGAATGAAGCTACAATGTTTTCATCAAGCCTTTCATCCACTTCAAAAATTTTTGCAAACTGATTTTTTTTTTTTAAATATTATTCTAAATGCAAGTGCAATCAAAATTAATTTTTTATCTACAATCTCACTAGACAAATGACAATATGGACAATGCTGGAGATAAGTTATTTGCATTTCCAAAATGTCCACAGAAGCAAAAAACCTACTTTTGTTGTCATTTACTTTCACAACTTGAAGGTTAAAAGATAATGCATTACATAACTTAAGCACAAACAATGTTACATTCCATTTTGATGAAAAATACATACAGATCTCAACTCTTGTTACACTAACATAGACTCATCTAAAGATAGTATGAACTATAGATGTCATCAAATTACTTCAGAGGAGAATTTCCCTTGCATTTTCAGACTCCCTATTACCTTTGATTTTTTACACCTATCAGATGGGTTCAATTTAATCAAAGATATCTGAATATTCAGCTATATTTCATAGAGATCTCTTCACTAATCAGTAACTACATTAAGATGTTACTATTTCAAAGGTCATCAGAAAATTATAGCAATTTTACCCTTGGACACATCCTTGACTTCCGGCATGTCAATTCTGTTCACATGAGAATGCACCTTTGTTTTCTATTTGTGAACAACTAAATGACATGGAATTCCCTTCTATTTAGGAAACATATGTATAAGGAACTTGTGAATAGTCGTCTAGTCCGAGTTGCTCTCTAAAACCAATTGGTGCAAACAAAATATGTTAAGCATTTCAACCAGATCCTTCAGACTGCTAAACAGTAATGTAAACTTGTATTGATTAGCCTCATAGTGGAAGCCAATTCAGTACTATTGCCAAAATTTCATACCTGAGACTAATTCACAAAGTAGTCAGCTTCCTCTTATTTCAACACTGGCTTGAAATAGCTTGCAAAATCTTTGAGGACTACAATATTTATAAACACCCAGCTCCTAGTAAGCACTTGTAACAGCCAGAGCTTCAGAAACAATACAATTCCTTCAAGCACCAGCGTCTCTGAAGTTCAGCATGGGCTTCCATAATGCATTCTCATTAAGAAAGACCCACAAGGATGACTGTCAAGATTCAGACAGTAATGAAAATAGCTTTATTTTACGCAGGTTAGGCAGCCACAACAGCACTGAAACATCTCTCTTACAAATGCAAAATTAGGTATCAATTACATAAGATATGTTACAATTACACCACACACCTCCAAGTAATCTGAGGCTCCCTCCTCATCCTTTCGACAGTTTATAAAACTTACTTCCCACACAACAAAACACTCCAGAGGAGAAAGTTAGTCAGTTCTGTTAAAGACCATGCAGGCTGGGAATACAGTCACGACTAACGCCTGTTTGCTCCCAGCTTGGTAGTACTGAGGGGATCAGTCACCAAGATATTTAAGAAACACTGAAGTCATTTGTTTCTTTTAAGACAAGTTGCAGGGACAACTTGATTCTGCTACTGCTCTTTCCCCTTAATTCCTCTTTTATCCTCACTCAGCACCCCACACCTCAGACTGTCTTTTCAATCAGTTACTTAATTTGCTAAGTTCACGTTTTGCTAGAGAAAGCCGGCAAAGTTCTAAGGACAAACCTGGGTAAGAAGCGCATCATGATGTCACCATCCCCAGTGGCCGCAGCTCCTCCAGCTGTACTATCAGCGTAAGCTCCTGCTCCAGCTATTGGAGAGTCTCCTACACGGCTGCAGCAAACAATGAAAAGAAAGATTTTTAAAAATACGTATATATACATACACATATATTTATATAAAAATTAATTCTATGGAAGAAAATTGAGTTATAACTTCCTAATTCAGTGGGGTTGCATTAATGTAGTTCTTCACTTAATATTTACTGGCCAGTTCTTATGACCTGGGCACCAATTTGTCAACTTTACTGCCTCCAGATGTGTTAGTGTTAAACCCACCGGAGAATAGAAGAGGTAAGCAGGTTACTCTACTGCAGTCAGAAGTCCTGTCTTAATACTACTGATGAAAGTGCTCTGTGATAACCTGACGGACCTGAGGCTTAATCCACCACCGGACACACCTCCTTGTTATTATACTGACTCCTCCAGTTGGGGCAGTAAGGTTTAGTCAGTAGGCAATAGCAAGTAGCTGGGGACACTGGTCTCTTCAATAATTCTTGTTAAATCCAGAAGATATCTGACTTTGTTAGACAGACAAGACTCCTGGCTATGGAGGAAAAAAAAATCTCAAAAATAAGAAGCACAGGCCTCAAGCTGTGATTCTGTATACGTTTCTTTGGAGACTGTGCACCTTTCCAAGATGCTCGTTCCTCTCTGGTGCCTTACCCTAATGTTGTGCCGAATCATTTTCCAGCTTAATTAGTCTCTCAGCGTTCAGATTTATGGCAGCCCAAAAATAAGCAAGGTCATTTTGTAACAGTGTATGTTTTAGACTGTGATTACCACAAGTATCCCAAGGTTTTTTCTAAAGCCACAAATACTAACCCCGGAATTTTGTGGACTGCACCATTAGTAGATGTCCCGGAAGCAATGGTTCCGCTCTCACCAATTACAATCATACCTAAAATTTTCAATAGGGATGAAACATATCAGAAGCACGCCTGACATATTTGTTAATCTGACACTATAGTTATCATTAAATAGAACTGTGATATCCAGACTATTCAAAATTACTGACACTTTGAAATATGGGAAAATCAGTTCTCTTAAAGAAAACAAGTTCTTTGTAAAACACATTTGGAAAGTTTTTGGACGAATTACAAGAGTCTAAAAAGGAATTGTTAAACAGTCACACAGCAGTTATTTCAGAACTGTACGTTACTGATGCCCAAGCAGCTAATGTCTCTTGACGCACGCCTATGCGACCTGGTAAAGAACCAGGAGCAACAGTCTGCGCTGGTACCATCAGAACGATGAAGTTTGGAAATCCTATAAACAGGGCTTGATGTAGATCAGAAAAAAAAAGAATCAGAGAGGAGAGCTTAAACTTGGCAGAAGGTGAAATACAGCCGATCACAGTAAAAAGGATTACGTGACAGACAGTCCTACGTGTGGGTGAGGCCACCCCTCACTAATTTCATGCGGATGAGGAAGCTGCTGCATCATACTGGAGCAACTCAGACTGGTGCTTGGAACAGGCTGGGATCAGCTGCTTCTCCATAAGGTAAGACTTCACCTCTTTAAGAGAGGGCAGCAATTGCTGCTGGCAGCAATTTCAGAACATACTGACAGTCAAGAACAGAATTCAGGCAGTTGAATTCTGGTTCTCTGATCTCACTTAGCAGTACCTTCTTCTGAAAGAAAAAAGTTTTCTAATCAGTAGAAGCTAAAAGCATAGAGGCACTGGCCCTACAGCCATCATTAGCCTCTGCAAAGAGACTGGAAGAACATAAGTTCCTACCAACTTCCTAAATGCATTCTGAATGAAGACACTACTCAAAACGTGTTAGTCAAGGAAATGTTTCACATATAAAGCAGTGGGATTAGAGAACACAGAGTACAAAGATAAGTGCTGATACGTACTACAAAACAGCTTAAGGCCGCTTAATGATGCATCAACTCCTGAAGTGTATTTAACAAATTTCCTTCTCACCCTGACACACTAAAATTTGAGTTTTCTAGAACATATTGAAAATTATATACCCTAGTAAAGAAAAATTCTTAAATCGGTAAGTAGCCTGACTTCTGTAGAACATCAATTTGTTATTAGGGAGGAGGAGAAGCAAAGACGACAGACACTTGAAATGACTTGTTAATTCTTGATATTGAAAACATTGCCAAACAAAAGGTTCCAAACTGCTAAACTGAGAAAAATCCAGCCTAAAACAAAGTGTAAGTTTTAAGATGACAAAGTATAAAGCTTGAAAGATATGAATCTGTAACTGCTCCACTCTCAATTCCACTCCTGTAACGGTTGCTGCCTTTGACTAATCTGCTAATGAATTATCTGACAGACTTAGCATTAACAGTCCTCAATCAGTAGACTCTTAAGAGGTCTTTCGGACTACTACTGCTAACCTGTTTTAAGCATATCAGTTTCTGTAGAAATTTACTGCTTTAGTTAAAAGCCAGAACAGAAGTAAAATGAAATTAGGTTTTCCATTGTAAGTTTAAGGACAGTTTGACAAACATTTCTTTTGGTAAGAGCGCTAACTTAAAACTGTTTATTCGCTTCTCCCACCTCCGCAAAATCTTTTTTAATTGGGCTGACACCTATTGGGGAGATTTGACCTAAGTCAACAATAATTCCGATATCAAGGTTAAAAACAACCATTTCTCATTTTTCTAAGCACCTATTATCAGCCCAAACAACTGTGCCAAGATATCTGAGGGAGAAGCAGCGTGGCAATGAACACAAGATGAAGCAAGTGGCTGTGTCGGCAGCACACTTTAAAACAAACAAAAAAAAATGCACCCAACCAAACAAAAAGCCTACTTTATCTAAGAACTTATAGGCATTCCATCATAACACAAGTAACAATCTTGAAACCAATACAAACAGAAAACACTGCCTGTATGAAATATTTTTTTAAAGTCAGCATGATTTAATCAGCAGGGGAACGAAGAAAAAAATTAGCATCAGAGAGTTACCAAAAGTTGTTACCAATAGTATCGTGATTATGAACACTTATTCTTCTTTGGGAGATGGTCCAATCCTCTTCACAGATTACTTTTTCAGCCTTTTTGTATGGTCCACAGGATTTTGAAGAGTCTGGTACTACATTCTGCAATTATTTCATTATTTGCATGAATAACACATTATGCTTCGTTACAGACAGATTTAAAAAAAATGCTACCCTCTACAATCTACTACCCACATCAGATGCCTGATACTCAGCTGTACTGAACTATAAAACCTTTAAGTGTTTTGCTCAGGCAACAATAACTGACTTGTGGTGTTATGTGGTGAAAGGTTTGCCTACAATTAGGTATTTATACGGGTCAAATCAAAGATTTTCTGTTGCTCAACAAACTAGTCAAAAAAGCTCATATTCTTCATCAGAACGGAGAAAACAAAAAGCATTATAGAATTTAAGTTAAAAAAAATAAGGGGCGGGGGGATGAACTGAGCCTTTTTTAATAGGATCCAGGTAAAATATCGTAGCAGGTATTTTCCCAACAAAAAGGAGAATATGTATTGAATTAAAATGTTTCAATACTACAGCATTTCAGATGCAAGAAACAATGAAGACTGCGTATAAACATGTAGAAATCTGCAACTCACAATTCCAAAGGAAAAAAAAAAAGAAACACAACAGGCAAGTTTAACATGTACAGCTGCATTGATTTAATGCGTTCATAGGTCTAAATAAAGCAACTCAAACTATGTATGGAAAAAAAGAGGACCTTAATTACTACTGTGAAATTTCCTTTTAGAAATTTATACATGCATCAAAAAAATACAATCACTGCTTAGTTTAGTTTGCCCAAATTTAGAGCAAAAAAAAAAAAAAAAAAAAGTGAAAATGCCCCCCAAAACCAAAACCCCACTGCAGCAAGGTCAAACCCAGTAGGACTTAGGAAAAAAGTACTAGAAACACTATTTCTGAGTCTACCAAACGTTTGGCAATTCCAGGTTTGTTCCGTAAGTTAAACAAAAGACTTTTTTTGAGCGTAATTTCAATATGTTGAAAGGAAGAGGCAATGCTGCGTGACTGACTTTCTAAAACCCTCTTCACCACAACTGTACTGACCTTCCAGTAGTTTGGCTGACAGCTCTGATTAAGCCACCTCGAATAGACCGAAAGAGATTTTTGGGTAGTTAACTCTTCATATGGAAACCCCATCCTTACAGCAAACAGGGAGGCTTTTAAAAAAAAAAAAAACAAAAAAAATTAATGGTTTTTTTAAATATATTTTATGATAATGGCTTCATGTAATATTATCTAGGAATCAAGAAATTCTACATTCTCTATGGGGATGATAAGTATTTCTTCAGAGAGTAGTATAAGCCATTACAGTGATGTACATCTGTGGTACCCAGTTCCCTCTTTACCGGCGATATCAAATTTCCTCAGTTCGCTGTAACTATGTTAGCACATGCAAATTGCACTACTGAAAGGGAGAAAAACTCAATTTTGTTACTCAGCTGGACATAAATAACCAGGAGCAAGAATAGCTTTGGCTGTGTTTCATGGGAATATTTAAATAAAAGTAAACAATATTACAATTTACTTATAAAGCTATACTTCTCTATGAAATGTGAGTAGCAGAGATATTTGCACAATGTTTGCTACTAAAACACTAATTCTTGCAGAAATTCATCCACTAGCCTACATGGCATTACACTTCTTTCTTGCAGCTTTAAAAGTGCCTGCTCCCCTGTTTTGAAAATTAACGTAGTATGTAACAAGGGAGCAGAAGAAATATCATCACAAACAATGGAAGAATGCTCCAATCCTAAGAAACATTACAGCAAAGTAAACTGGGCAGGGGGGAACAAACAACCCACTGCTCTCATATTTTAGTTATAGCTACCTTTGATATTATCCAGTAACAAATACTGTTGCTAGATTCAGATGTTTTAAGAATTTGTATTACCAATCCTTGATATTAATGTCACTGTAATACGCAGCTGAACAAGTTTCTCCTGTCCAAGCAATAAGAAAAGCCTTCAATTACTTCTGGACAGCTTTTCTGTGTCTTTCTTAAAAAAAAAAAGAAAACCAAAAAACAACACACACACACACACACAGAAAATCTGTTTGCACTCAGGGTAATGCTCGTGTAATGAAAAACTGACATCTTCAGTGACACAGATCCTCCTGTTCCCATTTCTAGAACAAACAGGTAGGGGGTTTTTTGACATAAAATTGTGCTCATGAATGTTTTCAGTCATTCTTTCATGACTTTTGCAGCCTTGTTTCTATTCTTTGAACTCCTTCACTTGGATATTGGTCTAAGTATTACTAGGACATAAAAAGGAAAAGGTCAGGCACACTGTGATTATGAAACTTTCCAATCTATTGAAGACAGACCTGAAAACTTCTCAGCAGACAATAACCAAAATAAAAATTTTGTTCACACTTGTGATCATCCTGCACTCAATGTCCCTCACCAGACTCAGTTCTGTGTTGGTATACACAGTCCTCATTGCTCGGTTCCTAAGTTCTGTCCTAAAGAAAGTATGCAGCGAACAGAGAAAGCAGTTCTTCCAAAACTGCAAGAATTGGTCAGTGTGGATATCTGTTCAACAAAAGCTACACCAACATGAAGCTAATTTTTATGTAGACCACCGTCACTATAGACCTCAGCTGTAAAAATGCATCAGCTTGGTTACAGTCTGGCTTACAGCTACAATGGCAAGAGTAGACGACGACATCAGGTTCGAGGTTTTTTTGTTCAAGGCAAATTCTACCACCGTTATACTGTCGTCCTCTTCACAGAACATGGCTCAAGCTTTCATCACATCCCGTAATCAGCTAAAAATTGTTCTCTTATAACCCACAGTATCATCTAGCTTACACAATACGACACAATTATTTGTTCACCTCCTCAATTCTGCACTGTTTTCAAAGCCTTTTTGCATGCTTTTGGGGCAAAGGAACGTCATCTATTATATTTTACTCACTGCGTGAAAACGATGCAAGATGTGACTTCAGACTTCAACGACTATCGTGTCTGAATGATTTTACTCTCTAGTCAATTATTTTAGTGTTCACAGCCTCTGACTCAATTTTTCACTTCCAGATCTAGAACCTGGCGACTCATGATCAGCCATTTTAAATCTACAACGCTTTTCTTTCTTCTACACTGAAAATGCTGAGAATGAAATAAATTCAAAGAGATAGCTATAGAGTCTAGACAGAAGCCCAGACACAGACATTTTTAAAAGTCCAAAGACTTTGTCAATAAAATTAAAAGAATTACTAATCAGAAGGGTACTGCCATTTTAAACAATACATACTATCATTTTCCTTGCATTGTAAAATCTAAGACTACGAAAGGTTCTAGACAAGGACGTGATGGGACAGGAAAAATACATCCTCTCCCTTAAGTTCTCTTTGTACCAGTGGTTTAAAACACCTTCACTTCAATTTATGAGTCAAAGTAAACAGATCTGTGAAGGCTCTTTAGGTATCATGGCACTCTAAGAGATTCAGTCAGTATTCTTAACATGAAAACGAAAATTTCACATTACTTTCATTGAAATTTTACTACCAGGAACCACACAATGGCCACAAATTAACTTTAGTTAATTGATGATTTTTAAATGTGCGTTATAGCTCTCTACTGTCAATCACTCAGAGAAACTAAATTTTAGGAAACAGACTTTCCGGGACTGTGTCGACAAACGTATTCTAATAAAACTGCAGAAAAAAATATGGAATAATCTCCAGCATCTTCAATGGAAAAAAAAAAAACAAAAAAAAAGCTTGCATAGATAACAGATATCTAAGTTATTGATATGAAAAGATTTTACTGATCTAGCTAGCTTTCTGATGAAAAATGTAAACATTTACGCGGAAAAGAAACTGCTATTTCCCTCATATACTGACTTGAAGATTAAAATGTATTCTTCTGAAGCTGTGGCTCTATTTTCTCTTTATCAATCTTCACCTAGTAAAGGTGATCATGGCTTCTTTCATCCACATTCCATATTTCCACAGAAAATACTCCACATTCCTTCACAAGGAATATTATTCTTCCTCAATTTCTCTGCTGCTTTGATTTATTCACTAACACTATTATCACCTCTGAGTTGTACTCAGATATGTCTTCACCTTTCCCGTCATTCTTTCACCATTACTGGTACATGGTTTCTTCTGAGAAAGTTCTCACTAACAGAAAGGACTCAGCTTAACAGCCCTGTCCACATGACTTCGTTATGCAAAATGCTATCATCCTACGGTAGAAAACATATCTTAAATCAGTACTTAATTCCTCACTTTCTTCTTCGTCTTTCTTATCCTTTGTGTTTATTCACCTAATCACATTTTTTAAATATTCTAATATCTGCCCAAGCTGGGTGGAAAGAGTATTAAGAGCACTTCCTCCTCCTCTACTTAACACCTGATCAGTTTCTTTTTCAACTGCCAGTGCAACCTCTCTCGCCAAAGCTAGTCGTAATCTAAACACGGCCAGCTACCTGAACTAAATAGAATCTGCAAATCCATCTCTCTCTTTTCAGACCTCCTGTCAAACATAATCATCATCTCCTCTATTTGCGCTACTTTACTCCATCCAAAGAACCCACTGTTGGACTTATTTCTCTATCATTCTGCACACAAGAATTCCTTCAAGAACCTTCCATCTTTTCTTATCAATTTCAAAGCGCTTGACTCACCTTTAAGGCTCAGATAATGTCACTTCCCTTTAAATCTCAACTCCTCTACTTGTCTCCGCATTTCTTTCCAAGCAGCCCCATACATCTGAAAAATACTGTCAGCCAAGTAACCTTCCACTCACTACTCATGTACCTCCCTGGAATATGCATCTCTTTTAAAGCTAATATTATTCTACCAGCAGTAGCTCCTATTTTAAAACTCCAACTATTCCTTGAGTTTGCTATCACTCATTTGTTGTGCCTAGGAGTACAGCCTCTAATGTAATTTTTTTTAAATTCAAGTCCTCACTAATATCTTTAAACCAAGAAATACAGTAACGGTGCTTAACACATACTCAAGTGGCAATATGTAACTCTACAGTCTATTAATTCTGCGGTTCTTTAGAAACAGTTACTCCACGTTTTTAAATGAAATATTTATGTCTAACAGCTTCAGTCTGTATAATGCTTTGTGTCAACTCATATTTATTTAATACCTATGTTTTCAGTGATATTAGCAAAGCCTCAGGATTACAAGTTAATATTTGCAGTTGAATTGGTGAATAGATCATAAAACTATTTTTCTTTTCATGTGGAAATAATGGAGTAAAACTTAATTCATACCCATAAAATAAACTTAATAGAGTAAATACTTTAGAATTATTTGACTATGTTCACTTGATTGTCAGGGAATCCCCACTCATGTTATCAAGACAAATGTATGGCAATTGTAACTATAATAGGAAAGGTTTTACGAAGAATCTAAGACTTGGAACCAGTTAAAGCAATAATTACCTGACTCTCCCACTAATAACGTATGCTTTGTGTGTTCAATGACTTTTCGCGCTACACCAATTGCATTTTTCACATGTCTCAGATCCGCAACTGCCCCAACTTCCATAGTGTTCCTGAAAAGAAGAAACATTTAAAGCCTGCTTAGATTAAATTTAACAAAGATGCGTTTGCATGTTTTTTATTAAACAAAATCTGTTCTGATATAAATTAGAAAGTCTGCTGTTTTAATGTACTACTGTAACTGTTCTATGGTAAACAGCCACAGAGAGATGGTGTCACACTAGCAGGGTAAGACTTCATACATACATTGCTTCCTTGCACTGGTAAACTTAAGTAGCAAAAACTCCAGCCAGAATAATAGTTTTATTAGAGTAACTGTTTTGTTATATAAACTCATATAAGGAACCAAAACAAACATTTGCCTTTCTTTCTGAAGTAGGATACTAATATTATTTATTTTTACTCATTTAAATAGTAAGGTATAGAAGTCAGAATTGTTATACAGGTAAAATACTTATGGAATGAATCTAAAGGAAAAGTTTATGATGCTACAAACATGAAAATTTTGCCTCTGTTACCACCTGCTTTTTAACTGCCAGATCTCCAGCTGGATTACTGCATTACACGTACAGATTTAATAATGAACGTACTGAGTTACTCTTCCACCAATTAGGTAAGTTTTTCTTCTGGTTCCGCAAGTTAACATGCTAACTTGTCCAAACTCAGTCAGCCCTCAACCTACAAGATCTCTGTAACAACTCTTACGTTAAAATGTGATAAAAATTACAGAGATCGTTCTTTTCTCCATTCAGTTCTCTTACCCATCCATAATCATTGCATCCAGTGTTGTTTCTCCGCTTTCATCTGGGCTTCCTCCGTATCCCACACTCCCATCACATTGGTCAATCTCACACTGACCACAACCTTTTTCAACTGCGTCCAGCTCAGAGCCTCCCATCTGTAATACTCTCCATGCTGCAATCAACACAGACAACTAAACATCAACAGTGAAAATCTCCACAATTACATTAAGAATGTTTTAAAGGTCGACACTACGATGACGCATTATGTAAGTAGAAAAAAGTAAAGTATAATCTACAGGTGAAATACATATATATTTAAATGAACCAAAAGATAAAATATTATTTTTCTAAATACTGATTTGCTTGTATATCTAATCAGTGTTTGTGAGAAATTAAGCTTTTTTTTCCTAAGTGGAAAGGTATTATTTACTAACAGTCATCAAAAATTCTTTATATGAAATAACGTCCTCTGTCCAGGATCAGCCAATACTTTTTCAACATCTGTGTAAAGCCTTCTGAGGGGGGGAAAGGAGGCAGGAAGGGAGGAAAAGAGGGAGAAGACTTAGCAAAACTCTGATCTCAGAAAGAGAAATAAGTTATAGCAAGCAGCTCTCAAAAGCCTCCTCAGAGAATACTAAGGGCCCAGCTATAGAATAAAAACATCTGAAACATACGTTTAAACCTAACATCAATAACAACACGTAAAAACAAAAAGAAATGGAAAACAAGATATATAAGCAATTTCAGTCTCCACTTTCTCCTATTCAACCCTTAGCTGATGCCTTCTATTTTTCTTTAATATCTAACGCACAGCCTGGTTTAGTAAGACCTTATAAATGTGTCACACATACATGACTTAAACTGGGCCTGAAGGCTTTGCTCATGAGAAATACTTCACCAGATTGGACCTCAGGCAAGATTTCCCAAGACGTTTGAGATTGCTGCCATTCATGGTTGCAATCCTGCTTCGTCCTCCCTTTTGCTGCCGCTGGTGCTCCACTGGCTGCCAGATTCAGCACAGGGGTGGTAGCAGAAGCACACAGCCGAGCTCTTTTTGGCAGCAACAAACTATTACACTGTCTCAACCATCTCAAGAAACACTCAATTTCATACATGCAGCATGCAACTGCATGAAACTCGCTGCACGAAGGAAAAAACAGTATTTAGCATCCACCTCCACAGACGCTTGCCTGTGTAACAAACTTTATGTGAGCAGTACTGTTTCAATTCCAACTACCTTTTCTTTCAGATATTTTCAGGTATTTGCAAAATAAGGGTCTTGTTTCCAAAACAGTATTTCAGTTCTGACATATACAAGGCTTTAGGTAACCCATTTTACCAGCAAGGCATCACCAACAAGGAGTTATTTACAACCTAACTAGGCTAACGCAGCTTATGTGTATCTCTAAATCAGTAACCACAACTAATTGCTTTCGGCATAACTGCCATAGAAAAAAACTGCCTTGATTATTAATAACACTTCATAAAACATAGAGCAACAAAAATATAATATTCAGAAGTATCTGAATCTTCAGGAGGAAAGAATGGAGACACTACTAAAAATAAACAACTACTTTTAACAGCAGCAGCAACATAGATCACATTATCAGGGAAACTTTTTTCAATCAACCTTTCCACAGTGTTCCACAAAATCCACTTTTTCTTGTTTTCTAACCTTGAACGTTAAACCCCTTCCTCCCAGTTCTCAGTGCCACACTACGGCTGGGTGACAGAGGACCATCAGTGTAAAGGCCAGCTCAGCTGCTCTGCCCCTGCCCACGTGGAGGTAACCGACACCCCAACGCCAGACCTGGGGCCAAGCTCCCCCCAGACCCGACGTACGCTCTCCCCAAGGACAGAGAAAGGCTTTTTGCAGAGTTTCCCTTCGGGTAACGCACAAGCGCGGTTTCCTGCGCACTTCCAAGCGCGTTTCTCAACCCTTTGGCTTTTTCCAAGCACAAACACCGGCAGCCTCCTCCCCGCGGCCC